ATGGAAGGACTGGTCTCGGAGTCGCTCGCATTGTGGCCTTGCAGAAGAAGGTCTCTAACGATCCGGGGAAAGAAACCCGCGAGGCGGTTTTCATAGCTTTGGAAATCGCTGCCGTGTTCGAGCGATATGCAGTCAACCAATTGAAAAGCGGAGTGATGGAGATCACCCTTTTCGCTTGGTGGATCTTGATCATGATCTACTCGTCCCTGCGGCTCGACGATGTCATGCATGTGGTGCCGGAGCCGCTTGGCATGGCATGAAGGACGAGGGCCTCTACGGGATAGTCTGGCAAACTCAAGTCGAGCGGCAGAGGAAAAACACGCGGCTACCTTCATGATGGACGGTCGGGATTTCTTCATGAAGGAGCTGGCCGGGGTCGATAAGTTCTTTGAGAGGCCCCCTCCACACCCGCCCAGAAGCAGTTTCGCGGACCGACCAGTTCACCTTTGAAGGGCTCGAGCGGGCTGGTTGCGCGTTCGGACCGCGCCACTTTACGGGTAGTGGAAAAGAAGGGAGTGCGCTCTGAATAACACCTGTTCGTACCCGCTTTCACGAAACAGAACTTGTTTGTTTTCGTTCTGGGTCAAGGTTTTCAATGCCCAAACCGTTGAGTTCGGTTAAAAAAGGCTGAATTTCAATTTCATTTGGGCAGTTCTGACCTTCTCGGTTTGAGAGGACGCCCCCCGTCATGAACGAATGCGCGTCTTTGGAACTTTTGCTGCGCAAATGCTTAGAGCGCTCCACACGTGCCAGGAGAATGGTTACCTGCTCCTTGCCACTCCCGATGGCGAAGTTCCTTGCCTGGAGTCAGTGCTTGGGTACTCCAGCAGGTTCGAGACCGTTGTTTGGTTGCTGTTGTCCACAGTCAAAACAGGCGGTGTTTGGCTCGGTTTAACATCATCATTCTGTATCCAAATTTTGGATTGGCGTGTGCTCAGTTTGCCTCGTTGGATTCTGGTTTCGATGAATGTTGGCTTGGCTAGGCCTTTGTCTCAGGAGACGCAGCCTGTCGAAACCATTGGATAACGGTTGCGTCTTTGCCCGCATGCTGCCAGACTTCGATCCCAGCCAAACCGCCGAATCATGCCAGATTACCAGGCAGAAGCCAAAGCATTGAGTTGGGCGCCAGCCATTCCCAACCACAAGCATCCAAGTGAGAAGGCCTTGGGCTCCCCCAGCCAAGCCGACTGAGAAAACGATTTGAGTTAATCGGAGAAGCTTTTTAGTCGTTTGGCACGCAGCGGCTCTGCAAGTCCTGAAACGAAGTGTCAGCCTTGAGATGACCTGTTTGCGCCTTCAAAGTCCTAGAGCGGGGACATGCTGAAAGCGAGGCTGCCCTTCGCGAGAACAATGCCGTACAACATTCAGCTGGTGCTGGCTGGATTCGATTGCTTAACCCATCCGAGCTGAAATCCAGGCGGTTCCAGCTTTCTGTGCTTGTCAGAACGTCGTTTAGGAGAAGCTTGACTCGCAGGTTTCCTTGGCTCTCGACGGAGGGAGTCGCTCTTGGGTCGTTCGGTGAGCGACCGCCTGCCATGTTCTCCCAGCCTTCTGAGCATGCCTGGTTCGAGAACCGGAATGACAGGGAACGAGGGCTATTTTGACCCCTGGGCACTTCTTCAGGCTCGAGCTTTGGGGCATTTGCACAACATGGGACTGCGTCAAATCATGCATGAATGCAAGGCTATGCGCAAAGCAGCAATGGCCAAAGGAGTCAGATTCGTGGAGACGGCTGTCACCGCAATGAGGATGGCGCCGGAGTCCCGGCAAATCTGTACCGGACTGCAGTTGCCGTGCTCGTAGTCGCATGCCCCACCAAGACCCGACAAGAGCATCGCGGCTGTCCAATTAGCTGACGGTACCGATGCCACTGCCAAAACAGTGGTCAACGCAGCAGGCCGGAAGACTGAAGACTCGAAGTTGGCTTTGCAGCAGATAAGGGAGCTTTTATAACCCGCGAGGTGCCTGGGGTGGGAAAGTGCCGATGTCTCGGGCAGACAGCCTCTGTCCAACTTCCTTTGATGCGCACCTCCTCGTGTGCCTCTTCATGCCTCTTCTGAGGGTGGCCATGTGCGGGAACGTCACGCCACTCCCAGTGGTACCACGGAAGTGCACAGCTAAGCCACCTAAGCTGTCTCAGCCACATTTGTCTCATGGCTCGATTCAGCTTGGTTGGAGTCGTCGTTGGCGGTCAGGCGATGTATCTTCCTGTTTCATGCTGGGGTCGAGGAGGGGTCTTTTCAGAGCTTGCAGTTTAGCAAGTGGTCTTTTCTCTACTTAAGTAGCTGCTGGAGAGGTGGCCAGCGACGGCTTGCATCCTCGACCACGGGAGAACACACCGTTGACAATCGACGCCAGTGGGGTGTACTTTCGTCGCATGCCTACGTTGAAATCAGCCTTTGGTGTCATAGCTGGGACGCGTGCTGCCTTTCAGGTTCCGAGGGTTCGCGGAATCGATTTCTGCGCCTTGCCTGCAGCTTCAAGAGGATGCACAGCATAGCGGCAATGGACTCCATGAGCGAAAATTGAAAGTGCAGTCCGATTGAACTGGTACTGGAGCCTGTAGCATTCACTGAAAAACAACTAAAGCTTCGCGCACGGTTTCTGCACCAAAGCTCGGCCAATGTTCACGCAGCATTACGTGCCTAAAGAGCTTGCTACCTAAAAGAGGATGCGCTGGACGGACAACGCTGTTTTTCACCAAGCCTTTTGTGGGGATGATAGGCGTGTTGCAACCGCAACGAGTGCGAGGTGTGGCGTTAGCCCCAAGCCGGAGGCCGTGCTTGTGCATTGCTTGTCGCGGCTGTGCACCCAAGCAGTCAGCGTACAGGCGGATCTGGACTGTGACGCGGATGCTCTCTTGGATGTTGACTACGACCTTTTCGAGGACGGGACCCCATTTGGCCTCGCCCATGCATCCTGCGCAATGAAGATGAAGAAGTGTGTTTGTGGTGCACGGGCCGTGGATGTTGAAGCGAGGTAGTCCTTCGTGAGACGTTAGCATGTTCGCCCTGTTTGCGGCGTAGTGTAGCCGAACTTGAAGATGCCGAAGGATCACTGCCGGGCATGCTGTATACCCTCGGCAGGGTCAGGCGAATTTGCTCCTCCGCCGATCACCTGTTGTGCGACGGTGGGCCGGAAACGCGGTGCGTCCATTGCATGACCACATCGTGGACATCAAGTGCTGTCATGGCAAGTCTCGGCAGCAAACGGGATTGGGACCCGGCAAGATCGGAGGCTCTTGAGGCCAGCAGAAGGCCTGCCCCGGGGAGCATTGCGCGTTCCTCCACCTATCGAATCACGGACCTGCACCCATGGACCTTCACCTTCACAAAACACAGCCTGTCCCTGTGTCGCTGTGTGCTCGAACCCTCCAGAAGCGTCTAGCGCCTTGGTACTCATGCTCCTGGACGATAACAGCATACCACTGCATTCTCAGCTGGAGGCAGTAACAGATGTTCCAAACCGCTGAAGAATGGCATCCACGAAGATCATGTGTGGACATTCGTGGAGTGTAAGAGTCCGAAGGAAGAGGCTGGCAGGAGGTCCTTATCAAGAGATGACGAAGAGGAACAACATCTTGTCCGGTTTGCTTACAACATCTTACAACGAACCGCCCCTGCGAAGATTAGCACGGCCGAACGCTCAGGACCTGTGAGGTCCTCGCATCTGAATCATATCTTCGGAGTAACTCGATATGTCGTTTGGTCATTGTTCAAGTTTGACTCAGTGGAAGGACGTGATCTGGCCTGCCCTGGCAGAGAGGGCTCCGGCCTTCGAGGTCCGTGGGGTCCCGGGAAGGTTGCGACCCATTTCTGAGTTGGGCCTGGAGTCCAGGCCATCAAGCTGGAGTCTTCCTGGGCGGGCCTCTACGAATACAACACCTTGGACCAGAATGGCGTGGTAGGGTCTGAAGCTCGAAGCATCAGGTTAGCTATAGTTTGGCTTACTCGGAAAATGCAAAGATGCCAAGGTGGCATCCAGATGTGCCCAACCTGCTGGTGGCATGCAGCAGCCCTACAGCCTCCCGCATTGTGCATTTCCACGTTGAGAGCCTTCTGAGGAAGTAAGCCAAGCTGTTTTGGCCTGCGGTGACCCGTGAAAGAACTAAAAGTCCCTTGTCTTTGCCTCGTGGAAAGTCATTTGCAGTCCAGGAGCTGAGCAAAGGCGCCCGTGTTCAACAATTCAGAACACGCTTCCGCACAAAGCATCCATGGAAGGCGATGACTTGCAAGCCGCAATGCGCACATATTACAGCCGACCAACATCAGAACCAAAGAGTTTCGGTTTAAGGCAGAGTCAGAGTTTCTGCGCAGTAAGGCGGCTTCAGTGGTCACGGACTGCAGCAGGCGCAGGGGGCACAGGGCACAGGGGGCGAGCACTCGCGGCCGAAGTCTCAGGCTCCGGGAGTCGGCAGGGCGGTGGCCGAGCTGCTGTCCTTGGGCGGGCGCGCTTTGTGTTGTTGGCCTTGTGGAGAAGGACACAGAAGGACACAGAAGGCACAGGTTCTGTGGCGCTTTGTGGCGCTGGCAGGTACGACAGCATTGACTTGTCGGTGCTGGGCTACGACCGCATCTCACGCAATGAGCCGGTTTTTGAGCGTGGCATCTACTGAAGGCTACGCTCACCTGAAGCTTGTACATATTTCTATGCTGAAGACTTGCCCCATTCATCCATTCCTGGGGATCAGGGTGCGTACAAGATAGAAATAGGTGGGAGGTGTAGTCACAGTTGACGGAGCATGAAGGAGCAAGGACATGCATCCCTCAGGGCGTGACAAGAGGCCAAAACTTGTGGAAGGAAGGAGCGGCTATGGGAGTAGGAAACACGGCGTGAATTCAACCGCCTCAGCTTTTCCTGTTCGCAACCGGTGCGAACTGGTGTCATGGACATCCATGCTCTCAGGCATCGGCCAAGGGTGTTTGGAAGTGATGCACTTCAGCGGGCCTCTGATCAAGGCCCCAGCAGAACATGGGGTCTAGCGGGATGGGTGCGTGAGCATGCTGGCCCGAACGTTGCGTTGTTGCAGCGCCGTTCCCAAAGTTCCCCGGGGCATGATGGAGGCGCAAGCCACTGGGAGTGGGAAGCACGGAGTCCTTTTGGAAGATTGCAGAAGCAGAGCCGGAGCCGTGATACGATCTGCACAACGTAGTTCACCGCGCGCTGGTGTATTTTTGGCTCCGAGATCTGCCCCGGCCGCCCGAATGGGACGTGCTAGCAGCAAAGTGTCGTGGCATGCACTCAATCATCGGACGTAGCATTTTTCCTGCAGTGCGTGTGAGCTTTGGTATCCTGAAGTATGTCAATATCGAAAGCCTTACTTGATCACATCTGAGGTGCGAGCACGCCGAGCGTTTGCAGTTGCATCTGCCGTGTTGGCTGGTGCACTGCTAGTACTTCGCACACATACGGCCGTGGCAAAGACGTTTGCCCAACCATCGCCAGTCATGGAGGCAAAATGTCCCATGCGACAGCCGTTTCCAAACAAGAGTATCGGGCCATAGCACAACTGAAACACCTTCGCGGTGAGAATGTTGCTGAAGCATGCTGAAACAAGTACCAGTAGAGCATCCATGCAGGGAGGGATGTGGCTCGATCAAGCATGATCTCGTTACCTGCAGATGCAAATCTGGTATGCATATTTTGAGAAGCCTGGGAAAGTTTGCCTTAACTACGTTGCCATTCTCAACCGCACTTTCCACTGGAATCCACTTGGCAGGATCAGCTTCCGCTTGTCTTGTGCTTATACTGTATGGCGCAAACTTTAAGGAATCTGCAGAGGTTGGCACGAACAGACGGCCGTAAGTCAGATGTCTGTCTGGTCGATGCTCTCCTGTTCTGACTGGCCAACATGTCGTGCGACAAGTAGTTCGCAGAAAATGAGTTAGGTGACTGGGATCCACGAGCGTCCCAAAAGCGGTGTCCGGATCCGTGTTCTCTTGACAGGTAGACCCGGAATATCCGGGAACTGCCGTCGAACGTCTCAGGAACATCCAGGCATGGTTTGCGCTACAATCTATGCAAAGTCTTGTGGCCTGCTGGCCCTGCTGTCTCACTTCTTGGAATCATCTGCAACTGGCCATGTTCTTTGCTAGGCGCGGGTGAGAAGCTTGACGCCCGAGGACCTGAGCAAAGACTGGGAGGAGGCGTGGAACCGCATCCATTATCTCTCACAACATTGTATGGCACTGGCGAAAGAGGCCAATGTAAACTGGGAATCAGCAGCTTGATGTTGCGAGGTGCGCCGGAAGATCTTGTGGGCCGGGGGCCTCAAGGACCCGAGCTTCAAGTCTTCAAAATAAAGCTCTGCGCTCTTTGGGCCCGGGGAGGATCTTCCACGCAGTGTGCCTGGACAAGGCTACACAGGAGCGCCAGCTGCTTTGAGAGCAAGCAGAGCCACGCATTTGACCAGAGGCCATTCCTTTAACGATGACAACCACTGCGATCTCACCCCCATGCTGGGAGAGGCAGCAGAGTCTCAGCATCTTCGATAATTCTGTTGCGTTCGAGCCCAAAGCATTCTTCACCGCGCAAAAGCGAAAGTGACACCGTTCCGGAAGTCCAGAACTGGATGATGCCAAGTATCGGAAAGCCGGCGATTGGGCTTGGACTGAAGAGGAGTTTTGTTTTTTTCGGCGTTTGAAAGTGCTGTGTCACAGGTAGCGCACAATCTCCATGGCGGAGAGATTCGTGGAATAGCAATGGGAAATCGGCTAGGCAGGTCATGGAAGCCAAGGGAGCTCAGTTGCCAGAAGCCCCGTGCGCTCATGCCAGGCCCCGGCATTGAGATTGCGAGTCTACCCGAGCTCGGCCCCGGCGGGTCTTGGAGTGCGACTCCAGGAGAGAACCTGCTTGCGCTGGGCAGCAGTTTTCGCTTTATCGAGGTACTTGCACGAACGGTTGCCATGTAGAGCCACCACAGGACTGTTAATGCTCTGAGCACGTTTCGTGTATGTGTCGACGCCCCATGCCTCTGTCAAGTCATGGTGATTTCGCTGGCAGGATGTGGCTCATGTGCAGTTTAGGCAAGGCCTTCAACAAACCCATGGGCGAACCCTTAAGCAAATACCCGTGCGGGTGCAGGGCTCGGATCGCCTTTAAGCTTGTGTGGACCCCGCCGCACTTCACCAGCTTCGTTTTGGTGGATGACAGCCGGGTGGCCCAGGTGTGTTTGGCAAGGCTTCAGGGCTTTGAGTAGGCTCTCTGGCACTGTGGCTCAGGTGGTGCGTACCTCAATCACGGATCTCCAACCGGCGTCGGCGTCTCGGAAGTCCCCGGAGCAGGCGGCAAATCCTGCAAGAATGCGAAAGCAATCTGCAAGTGGCAGGAACAGATATGTCGCCTCTTGCTGAGGCCCTGCCCGATCTGCGCTCCCGGGCTTCGAATTACAACCTCGTGAAGGGGAGCAAGTGACCCTCGCGCAGCTTGCTACCGTAGTTGGATAAACGGTCGCTTTGCGTGGTGCAGAATTTTGTGTTGTGGCTACTTGTCGCGGTTTCAACACGCGCAGTCCGCAACAGCTAGTTTGTGAGGATTCGCAGACGAAGTGTGTGCATTGAATTGGCAAGTTTCTCGCGGAACATGTGCAGGTCGTGGGCTTCCTGCCCGTGCCACCCGTTCCAAATCGTGCGAAGCAATCGAGTAAACAATCGTGGAAACCGATGCACAAGTTGTGGTATACATGCTGCAACTGGGGTAATGATTAGAACTAGAACTGCCTCCAACATTTTCAACACGAAGCTTAAACTAGCACGTCGTCCGAGGGCCGAGGCACGAAGCTTGCCTTGCCTCGGGCTGTCAGCATCAACTGACTGGAGACCTGCCATCGGTTTCGCTTGTGCTGAGTACAAAAATAGTGGCCTAACGTGTGGAGTTTGCTGGAACTGTTGCCCTGGGAAGTGGGGACGTGCGAGGCGAACTGTGGGTCCAGCCATATTGTATGCAATGTTGAAGCCATCTGTATTTCCAGAAGGCTACTCCGTGCACCATGTCAGGTATGCACGTGAGGCAGAGGCTTTGGCCGACCGCTCCGCTGGCGCTTAGCCAGTACTTGACATAAGGCGCTGACTTTTGCAGTTTTACCGAAGCACTAAAGATCACCTTGACTGCTTCTGCAGGTTGCATTCGCATCTGGATTGGCGCTGTGCAGTAGGCAGCATCATCCCTAGGGCAACTTGCTGCGGCCAGCACCAATTTTCATACCCTGGTGATCCTTCGCGTGAGTCAGCGATCAAAAGAGAGGCTCAAGTGCGTGTCCGCCCTTGCATGAACGCAGGCACGCACGCGCGTGCGCACCATATCGTTACAAATATCAAGGACATTCAAGGACGGTGGGCAAAACCGATCAAGTCATGTCATGCAGACACTCCGAGCTGCATGTTAACACCACACCAAAGGGGTTTCGGAACTTGGCCATGGTGCTGGGCAGCACTCTGCAGAAAAGTTTCGACACTCCCACGGCAAACAAGCATTCGAGACAGGCTTGAACGCTCACGTGAGTCTACATCAGCTTCCTGAAACCTTGTACCAAAGCCCGAGCCCGAAAGATGCAAACAGGCTCAGCAAACAGGCTTCGTGTTAGAAGCAACTTCACGCTGCTGGCCTGTACAACTTCAAGCTTGCTCAGGGGGGTCAGAATTTTGGATGTCTTGGCCGGTGCAAGGTTTACCCCTGCCGGCAAAAGTTGAAAAAATCGCAAGGGTTTAGGGACCCTGAGCACAAGGGGTGAGAGTTGTGAACCATGAACCCTGCATGGGCTGTGAATGGCTCTGATTAGTCAAGGCTTCGGAATTTGGGGTGTATGGCGGTTCGGGTTTAGGGTCGCAGGGTTTCAAGTTTTGGAGAAATGCAGCAGATGCATATATGCGGCCTTGCAGAATCCATCAAGTCACGGGAACGTACCGGTTTCTGTGCGGTTAATAAACACTCCACACGCATTTCACTCTGACCCCTGCCCTTTCCCTTTCGTCCCAACATTGTCGCATTTCGGGGTTTGTGGCCAAAATCGCCAGCATTTTGCGTTTTGGAGCTCTTGTCCCAAGGCAAGAAGGCGCTTGGGGATTTGTGCTTTCCATTCGCTTGCGTTGCATCCCACAATTTTACTACAATTCGAAGTTTCGGTGCTAAGGATAAAAAGGAAACCGACTCTGTATTTTTGGACAGGAAGCTAGGCTGCATTCACGGTGAAAAACCCAGAAGTCTAAACCACATGTTCACAGCACATCGGTCCTTTTGGGTTGTTTCAGGCAGCGCGGGGGTTCCCCGGTGAGTCTTGTTCGCGTTGGTGCTGGCAGCTTTGGGGCCTGTCCATTGTTCCGGATATCCAGCCCGATGAACTTTCTTGTTGGGGCACGCTCCAACCGTGCTCCGGGGGTTGGCCCGGCTCGGGCTCGAGGGGTGCAGGGACAGAGGACTTCCGCTTGAGTTTGAGTTGATAGCTTTCGGGGTTTGAGGTTTGAAGGGTAAGAATGGGTTTGCTTTTTGGTGGGTTCAGGCTGAGTTCGAAGCTTGCCTAAACGCGACGATCCTATCGTGATCAAGCCGCAACTGGAGTATCAGCAGGGTTTGGGGCGCACATCGTTTTTTGGTATTGGATCGCCACCTACAAAAACCGTGTCGAAACCTTGAAGTCTGCGGCTCGAGTTTCAATCAGTTCTATACAAGTAGCACCCACGCCGCTGATGCAATGTATGCAAAACGTGACAAGACCTTGCACGACCTTACAAGGCACCCATGAACATCCCACCGACTCATGTGCTCTCCAAGTGCCGTGCCATGAATCGATTTCTGGGTGTCAGGGTTCTGCAAGAATGCATTGTGGCTTCTCGTCTGCACTCTCGACATAAAATCTGGACGTACAGTCTGAACTTGTTGGTGGCTGGTTGGTCTGAGGCAACCTAGAATGCCCCGCGAAAAGGAATCGGCTGCGGTGATCCTGGGCTTAGGCTTAACCTTATCTTCTCTCATCTCTTCATGGGACAGCTCGGATTTGTTTTCCACAGCATGAGCACGTGTTGACAGATCTTAGGAGCGGCATCGTCCTGCCGGACGAGATCGACCCGTCCCTGGTCACGGAGGAAACCTGAATGTGCCATGCGAGCGTGAAAACTGAACAGATTGTTTTTACAGGGAGTTACGCAGATTGTGAGTTGTGTCCTTGTCCTTGCAGAACCAGCAGCTTGCAGAGCCCAAGTCCTTTGCCTAGCCCTTGGAAATCCTGCAAGCCGGGAGTGTCCGAAAAACCTTTTAACCGTTTTTGTTGTCAGATTGTGGATTCGACAGCCAAAGAGGGAGTAGCATATGCCAGGTCCTCGGAGTCGGACTCCATGAAATCCCGCTTGTGATGACCTGCCTTGCAGGTTGCAAAGCTCTTCACCAACGACCGCTTATCGCGAGAGGCAGGTTCGTAAGTGTGGTGATGCTAGAAAGAAGTTCGTGCTCACTGCGACCGCGTTGCACCAGCGATGTTTCCAAGGTCATATCTACTTTCCGTAATGCTGTCAATCGTTGTTCCTCGTGCCAAGCTCATGTTCATGCGGACGGAAGGATCCTGCTAGGGATGGTTCAATACAGGATAAATGCAGTTGCAGCCGTGCTGATGAATGTGGTCGTTCTTGCAGTCATCGCTTGTATCCCCCGCAGGCGTTCACTTTCCTCGCACCTGAGAATGTGTCTGAGGATGTGGCTGCGACCTTTGGGAATGCTTTGGAGATAGCCGAGATGTCTTAACTCTTTGTAAGGGATTCCGATCCAGACGCAATGTGCTGCATGACCTCGCTTTGGCACGAGACTTTCCTGAGGCAACCGCTCCTCAGGAAACTGATTCACGCTTCCCCCTTCTTGACTATTCCGGTAGCGAGTCACAGGCGCGAAAGCGCCAGAGCCTCATGTTAGTTCCTTTGGGTGCCGAACCCCCAGCGGCAATCCCAGAGGTGGTAAGCGCCAAGCACGTTTATGGCTGGTACTCGGTGACGCTGCTTTTAGCTGGCCTGGCCACTGCCCAAATCACTGCAGGAGATGCCTTCGCGGGTGTCTCTCGTTCAAACACCCTATGTGCTTGCTCCTCCTTTGAGACTTGAAACCTCTGCTGTAGCCACTGCCGATCCGATATCGACCCTGAAGGTGTGATCTTTCTGGTGATGGCTGGCTTTGTTGTCTACATGGTGCAGGATTCGTGCAAGAACATGACAATGTATTGTCTATTCATGCTGGGACTTATGGCAAGCTTTCAGTGCTTTTTTGACGCACTGGCTCTCTTGAGCGTTCTGGGTGGCCGCGAAACCTCCGTGTCCTCGGTGCAGGGTACTGAAGACAATGTTACCGTGATAACGAGAATCACACAGCACCCTTTCTTTGATCAGTCGATGGGCAAGCAGTACAACACGCAGTCTGCTGTTTTACTTGCGAGTCCGCTTGTGATGTCACTGTTGGCCTCGATGTGTCGCTTGGCTCAGCAGTCGAGCATTGTATGGGCTATCGGGCCACTTGCGGAGCCGGTCTATTTGCCAGAGGGTCACCGAGGTTATCTCTCCTACAATGCCTTTTCCGAGTCGCTCTTCCATGACGAAGCCGGGCCAATCTACGAAGGCACCCAGGTGCCTGGAAGTCCCAGTGCTCGTGCCCTTCCTGTTCTGAAGGTTGGGGTCAAGGCGCGAGAGCATACGGCGCCTCAGAGAGTGCGGAGAGGACTCGCCCGTTTCCCATTTCGATGCACCAGGTCATGCCTTCTGAAAGCTGCCAGGACTCAGCCATCTCCACCTCGGCTTTTCGAGGCGCGGGATTGAATGTTAATTAGTTTCCGGTTTTGTTGTGGCCAGACATTCTGGAATTGTGCGGCGGGCGAGCTACGGTTGCCTGTCAGGGCCACGGACACCGACTGAGCAGCTGAAGCAAGTCTGATGAGCTCTAACCGATCTGCGGAACGTCAAAAGTGCGAAGGGAGGGTTTGTACAAACAGATGCACCTTGATGTGGTGCATCTGACTGAAAGCTCTGGACCTCTTACATTGAGAGCCTGAGGTTATCATGGACGGGGAGACAGTTGGTAACTGGATCCTCGAGGTAGGGACCCGCTTGTTCGAAGAGGCGAGGCATGCTCCGCTGACTTCCGCTGGCGCCGGGGGACGGGCCGGCCCAGGGCTCCCTTCCGGGCCTACCATCTTGGGAACAAGAGGCACAGACAAGTGTGCTCTCACTGCCAGTTCTCCCCCGTTCACTTGTGCGAGGAGTCCCCTGAGTGGCGTGTCTCGCTGAAAGCATGGTCTGTTGCCCAGAACCAGGTGTCCTAGGAGTCTATGCCTGTCCATAGGTGCGTCACATACCGTGTTGTGGCAGCTCCTGCTGGCTGCTTGGCCTTGTGCCAGGGAAGATGCCCTGGATGTGGCCATGGGCCCGCGCTTTGCTGAATTGGTAGAAAGGTCTTTCAAGCGGGACACTTAGCACTGCAGCACAGAGAGAGCCATGGTCTGTTCACTGGCCGCTGGCCGCCTTTCCTTTATTTATCGGCTTCAGCTCGCCGCCTTGCCCTCCAAGCTCCAAGGCAGGCAGAGGCTGGCTTCTACCAGCTGGGCAGGCTGCCGATGTTCTGCCGATTGTCTTGCGACGGGAAGAGCTTCAGGTTCTTTTTGCTAGAGCCTTTTTGACCCTCAAGCCGAGACCCTTGGAGAAGAACAGGAAGGTGCAAAGAACAGCTCCATAGTCGACATTTTGCAACCACCGAAGATGTCAGCCTCCCTTCCAGAGCCTTTCGGTGGCATGTGGCAGGAGGCAGCAGCCGCAATGTAACTTGGGATCCCACGTGATATTGCCAGCTGGGATCCAGAGTCGCTCATGAGCATCCCCAAACCTTCTGCGAGTTCCGAAATTCCAAGGAAGGCTCCAACACCCAATCCGGTCACCGACAGTACTCTCTCTCGCAAAAGTGGTACGACAGCCTTGTGCGCAATCTTATTTCGAAGCCGGCATAAGCCGTCAGCATGCTTTCATCGGGATTTTGCGTGAGTGCATTGTTGCATTCGCCAGAGCTGAACTCCAAACCGGCACTCTGAACCATAGCGAAGCTGACGAGTGCTAGGCTGGCTCCGCGCCTGGCAGGGCTTCGATGGCACGTCGCTGAACATTTCTTTCAGTTCTGTCCTGTCGGCTCCGCGGCCCCGCAGTCGGCGAGGCTCAGCTGCATGGCCTGGATCCAGTGCAGAACGAGGGCCGTGATGGAGGCCAGGGCCGCCAGGGCCAGGGTTGCATTCATCACTTCGTCCGCAGCGGCATCATGGCGCCGGCGTTTATTGTCTATGGCTCTGACTAGTTGTTGTGAAGGCTTTGCCGTTGACATCTGTCAAGCTGTCAGCTCAAGACCAGAGCCAGAACTTGTGCCGATACGACCTTTCACCTTGCAACTGCTACTGCACCGAACTCTTAGAGTTTGCCAGTCCAGAAAAATTAAGGTTTAGGGCTGCTTCAATTCAAGGTTATAATCAGGGCGATAGGAAGCGGCAGATGGTTCCGCTTGCCACTTCAAAGGACCTCAAGGAATGCAAAGTGGCGACTGGCAGTGTCACTGCGCCAATACAACTGCTGCAGACGAGACCTCAGGAGATAACAACAAACTCGCCTCCGCTTCAAGTGTCTTGCTTTAGATTTTCACTTTCCGGGGCTGTGAGATCTTCAGCTCGCGCAGTACTTGGTTCTGGGTGGTCCCGATCTTCCCGATGAAGCTGGTTACTATTGGAACGAAGCGCAAAAGCTTCACCTCTTCTTCCGTGTTCCAGATGTGGGTCATCAGCCACACCAAGCAGCGGTTGGTTCCGGTTGCAGCCTCGCAGGACCAGACGCATTGGAACGTGGCGACTGGCAGTGTGAAGGTACCAGTACAAGTGCTGCCGATGAGGCTTCAGGAGATAAGAAGCACGCCATGGTTTCTTGAACAGGGAATCTCCGGTGCCGACGTGTATGAGCCGAGTGGCACTTATGGCACTCTGCAGAAGAACCTGGGAAAGGATGCCCGAGTGACATTGCACCGTCAAACCGTAGTCCACGAGACATCGTCCTCGCGGTGTGGTGGTTGCAAGGCCAATTTTGCTCACGGAGACCCACATAGCGATTCGGTAGTCATCCGGGCCGGCGGTGAGACTTTCTACTTTAAGCAGGTCTTTGGTGATGGCCACAAGCTTCGCTCTCGTGCCACTCGGTTCCAAGTTCATCAAGCGGCTGAAAATGAAAATGCAGCCCACGCCGGCACGACGTTCTACGGGCCGGACCTGGTTCGGCCCTGCTCGTGCAGACTTCTGCGTCAACGTGGCGGACTCCCAGCAGCGTCTCCCCAGAATGCCCGCCGACACGTCCTTTACCAGCTGGCTAACTTGAAGCCTTTCGCAGATTACCAAGGATCTTGGAAATCTTCCGCTTCCACTTGTCAGGCTTCGGTTGCGGCCTGCGGCAACCCGCCAAGTGCCTGCAGTCTCGCTTGAGGAAGCTTTGAGAGTACCAAGGGTCGAAGACAGGATCTTGGAAATCGCCGAGAGCACCTGCTTCATCTTCCACGCCGCCCGCGAGCCTCCCGCCGTTCGAAGGACAAAGCGGCGGGTATGCATTGGCTATCAGATGGAGGACGTACGAACATACTTCACCGAGGTGCATAGTCGCATCCGCGCCTTTTCCGGACACGACACGGCCAGGACTGCGACCTCAAAGTGATCTGCGAGGTTCAATGGACAGGTCTACAGGCCCTCTGGTGGCGCTGGGCTCTTCATGCCCCGAAGGGAGGACCACCTATGACCACCTGCTAGACCTGGGAAAGGCCATATCGGGTCGGCCACAGCGTGGTATCTTGAGAATGGCACAGCCAGCAACGATGCTTTCGCGCCGACGGGCACTGTTGAGATGCTGCAGGAGAACCTTCGCCAGGAACCACGAGTACAGCTGCACAAAAAAGCAGTGGTCCAAGAGACATGCTCTTCGGAGACGGGCGGAAGCAAGATCAGAGCACAGGGCCAGTGCCACAACAGCCCTTGCTTCAGGGTGGAAATTTCCCAAGCTTTTCCTGTGAAGTCCGGCGCTAGACTATGTGATACAAGGCAAAACGGCAAAACCGCAAGGACCTGGTTACAAGCAACAATCTTGTGCATTTTGTAGGCCCAAGAAGGCATCTTCGCAGTGTGGACGAATGGGGAGCCTTTATCCTCCTCCACGCTTGCGCCAACGCCGGCCGAAGCCACTCCCGCCATTCCGAAGCCTAAGCGCAAGGTTGTCGTTGGACATGAGATCGCCTCCGTGACATCAGTTATACACTCTTCAAAAGAAAGTGCAGATGTGGTGCGACATGGGCAAGGCGCACAGAAGGCGTATATCAGGATCAAAGAATACGTCTACTGCAGCTCCAGCTAAAGTGCCAGCTCCAACCAGGAAAGCATGGCTGCGGAATGCTGCAGGCTCATTCCGGTCGCATGCAAGGAACCAGTGGATACCAGTGGTGGACTCCCAACAACGTGGAATTGATGCTAATTGATGCATGTCGACTTAACAAAGCCGCAGTCAGCATGCTCTAAGCTGTGGTGAGTTGAAGATGCCGATGCCTCGCAGGGTCAGGCACCTGCCGATCTGACAGGATGGCGTGTGCAGGACAAATTTGCAAGTGCACGCAGTGCCGGAAGGGCCATCGGCTCTGCAGCGACATGTCCCGTCATCATCGAACGCCCTTCTTGCACGGTTTGGCCTTGAAGCAGACACCGGGCGAATCCAAGTGGATGTGTTGTTTGACGAGTTCCCGAGGCCTCCTCTGGCGGCTAGGCACTCAGGCCCAGTGTGGGGGCTGTGTTTGAGCCGTCCAGCGACCCAGCAGAGGCAGGCAAGATGCAGAGTTTTATTTTTAGGCTGCTGAGGTGGCAACTGCAGCATACCCACGACAGCGGCCTCCACTGCAGCATGTGACGAGGCGCACGGTGGACGACGGCAAAGGGCAGTAGTCTTCGGTGCCGCAGCAGTGCATGTGTGAGAGAGGCAAAGCGCTTCATCTTCAAAGCTTTAGACACTGTCGTGTCGGACTGCCGGGCTGCACAGTTGACTTCTTCGTGTTGAGAAAGCGACGGGGCAGGAGCCAAAGGTTCGAGTCCTTTTTGACTTCGATCTGGTTGGAGAGGGCGTCCAGACCTAAGTCACAGTAACTGTTAATGTTTCAGGGTGACCGTCTAGCGATCTTGTCCAGAAGAGGTGTGGCATGGTGGTGGCAAGGAGGCCTTGCCGGACGAGAGCACGGATGAATGGCTGGAGCCTTTGGGCCTGAGCCACTGACACCGTCTGCCAGTGTAAGCATCCAGGCACCGGCGAGCTTGTGAGTTTGACCTTTGCCGAATCGCCCATCAGGCTCCGTCCTTCGCGCTGTTAGGACGTATGAGCGCTGGGTGCCCTGTATCAGGTGGAGAAGGCTCCCCCAGCAGACGTGAACGCTTCCATTCCACGCTTGCTCCTGATGCAGCCTTATGGTGCCCCAAGCAGTAGCCGCCACATGGTCGGTCCGGTACGTCGCCGAGTCGAGCTCGCAGTCCCTGAGGTACGCCTCACAAGCGTCTCCGACTTCCGGAGGCTGAGAGAGCAGGGCTTGGGCCTAGAGTATCTAAGTTTCTAGACACTTGGAGGGCTTCTATACTATGTCTGTATTGAATTGTTTGCAAGCGAGCCCGACATTGTCGTAGCAGCGCATACACTGTTAGCCGAGCACATCCCTAGATCCGGAATGACAATATTATTTCAACGTGGCCTTTCAACTGCATAATCTGTGGCTTTCATGCTTGTCAGAGAGTGCATAATAATTGTAGATCCCTTATCAACGATTGCTGAAGGTCTCCGCAGCTTCTGGCACGCCTCTAGAGTTTGCGGATTTTCTCGGGTAGTCCAACTAGGACCGGTGGAATTGCCGCAGGTTCCCCGCATGATCTTGGAGCGGCACGAGTGGTACACGCAGGCCAGTTGCAGCTCGAAGTGGGTTCCGCCGATACTTGTGGCAGATTCTGGCATATCCACGTGCGTTAGATTGAGAAGATGACGTTGCTGAATCTTCACTCCAAGTCACCTATTGTGGGGCGCGAGCCCAAGTATACCACTTCCGCGAACATCTCCCTTCTTGGATTGGTTGAGGCCCATTCTCCACATCGAGGTTCCTCCTCCGAGCAGCGCTTGGAGGGTTGAGCTCACGGAAAAGACTGTCCGGTGTCCTGTTGTGTAGTTGGGACCGCTGCGAGGCCGGATTTTGACCTCGATGACCCAGAGGCCGCTACCATTCGTCAGAACTTCTGGGTTAGCCATGCCAATGGAACTAACAACACATGGTTTTGGCACTGTCGTACCTACAAGACATGGGGTCGGGGACGCATCATCCGCTTGCTACCAGCCAGATCCGGAGCAAAGTCGAGCGCGGGGAGGACCTTGGCAAGGCACACCAGGAGGCATCCGCCGACTGCCGTTCTTGGACTGCTTCAATCTCTGAACTGGACACTCTGCGGTGATCTCTGTCGAGCGCAAAAAGTCGAAGCAGTTTCCGGCCAAATCAAGGGACTGGACAGGCGCCGTTTCTCTTCCCGCTTTTTGGGCCTTGTACTGCAGACATCGATTTTCACCAGATGCGTGGTGATGCTTGCAGCTTGTGGGTGCACAGTGGGTTTTCCCGGTGCAGGATGGATTGCCTGGAGCTCTTCATGGAAGCACGGGGCCACCTGCCTTGTTTGGATGGTCCCATGAGCATTTTGAAACATGCAGATGCTGCTTGGCTTGGTGGTAGAAGCTTTATGTGCGCCTCCGGACACAGCAGGCTGCTCTATGCAGCTATGGCATTCGAGGAGATTTACGGCTTTTCGTGGAGTTGTTTTGCTTGCATGGGCGAATTCAGCCCTGATCCAAGCATCCACCCGTGCAAGGAGGACATAGTGAATGTGGTTTGCTCAGATGACAGCTAGTTTGATGCACCGATATATAGCCATAAAGTAGTGGAGGCGGCCTGCTCGCATAGGTTCGGTTCCATCCTGGTGGTATTTTGCTGGAGGGCATGATGGAGGCCGGGGGTCTGAGGAGATGTTCAGGTGCTGCGCCTGTCTTGTCCTGTGGAAGTCGCTTACAGATGTTCCTCCACTATGGCCCGAAGCTTCGCACGATCAGCTTGGAGGGGAACGCCGGCTTTGTGACAGAGGAGCCGCGAGTCCGGCAATCATGTGCAAGTACCTTTGCCCGACGGTGTTCACCATTTTGCAGAATGTGAACCCAGGATGCCTGCTTCGAATGGTGTGTAGTTAAGTTATGTAGTTGATACGCAGGACGCGCTGTCGCTCTTGACTTTGGCTGCTGACTCGGATGGTTTGGTCCGTACTCTTTGCAGACTCCAGTGGGGGACAACATGGCAGACCCCAGCGCGGACGACTAGGCTGGCGACACGGTGAAGACCTTGGACCTGGAGGACTGCGATCTGAACTCGGGGCACTTGGAGGCCTGGTGAAGTGCGGATGTTTCCACAAGGCAAGATCTAAGAGACGCGTCGCCTGGGTTTTGGTACATGTCAAAGAGGTTACGGCTTCGCGCAATTGCTCCTACAGGCTGTCCTCCACACCGTGAAGAACCTCCGAGCATTGCAGATCCTGGACCTGGCAGGTTCCACTTTGGCCCCGCCTTGCTGTCTTTTGCAGGAGAGTCGTAGTAATTCTAGGAGCCGTGTTGTGTGCTTATTGTCCTGGTTTTGGAATCCTAGGCTCATGCTTGCAAAGCCGCAGGCAACAAGTTTGACGGCCCCACAGCTCTCAACCTGGTGGGAGCCCTCTGTGAAAGCAGGATCGACCTTGACATTTTACGCATCTGGGCTGAACTGGACTTCGGTGTCTGTTCTGGTGTTGCCCCTAGTCCTTGCTGTTTGAACCACTGGTGGTGTCGAGGATTGGATGGAAATCCCTTGGGCACACCAGAGGTCTTTAAGAACGAGGTTGCAACGCTGCTGGCCAACCGGGGTGAGTCCGTCATAGCTGGTGGCGACCTTGTGCTGCACCTGGGTCCGAACCTTGGTTACCATAAGGTTAAACGAGCGGAATGGGAGCTGTATCCACAGCACAGCATGCCACAGAGGCGACGATGCTGTACGTTGGTGCCCTGCGCCCCGTGAGGGGTCTCTGGCGCGAAGACTGCGTGAGGACTGTCAGTGCATGGTGGCACGGAAGTGTCGCGGCCTCGCCGCTTTTATCGCCATGCGAGGAGGGCGGAGACGTGGTTCGCACATCGTCCCTGAAGGCCCGGTCTGCAGCGACTGCCGGCAGAAGTCAAAGGGTTCAGATCTGCGAGTCTCAGGAGATGGATCGCTTGGTTGCGCAAACAGAGGCGCCCTAGGACGGCCAGGGGGAGAAAGCTCAGTGAGTCGGTGAGTCCTGGAAGGCGCAGATCTTGAAATTCCAGCAAAACGATCCGGCAGCGAAGTCTTCCGGCGGCCGCGACTGGCTGCGCCGACGGCGGCAGCAGAATGCCAAGGTGCAATCTTAAGAGACACTGAAGGTTGTACGACCGGCTTTGCGACCAAACCCGTCAAGGTTTGCAGGAAGGAGCTTCAGCTTGCAGCCGCAATGTCATTCATGGAACTGTAAAAAAAGCATGTCGCTGTGTACCTCGTCGTCCCGCCTGCAGGTTTGGTCTTCGCCTGCTCTGAAGTTTTATCGGAGGCAGCGTGCATGGCTGGCCAATCAGAAAGAATGACGCGTTTATAACCCTCGTAGTGCATCTACTCCTTTCTATTGCAACACGTGGTCACATAGTGCAGACTCCAACAAGGGTGTTAATGAAAGAGCTGCGCGGGATCGCGCCTTGGCTCACTGTACATAGCCTCACGTGGTGCTGCCCGCAACTACGGGTCTGCAGAACGAGGTTCACCTCCGTAAAGCATCTGTTGCAAAGCAACAGACAAAACAAGGCCCCTTTTGCACCGAACTGTCAGATGTCTCGACTTGAGCAGCTCGCTGCATCCGGTCCTTGGCTTACAGAGAACCGCAGCGCTGCCACACAAAGCGTACAGGTAGGTTGTCTTTGCATGTCTTTGCTCTGAGCTCAACGAAGATCGGACAGTGCACAGTGTTACTGTGGAGACTCGTATATCAGAGCTTGCGCTGCGGCTTGTCCCTCGCCTACAGCTATCTACGGCTTGCGTGATCAAGCCTCGTCCTGAGACTGCCTTGTTGCCACAGCTTGCAACAGCATGCAGCAGAGCCGCCTTGTCGATCTGACAGTCTCTGATTCGTTGATTCCTTGAGATGTCTGCTTGCTGTAGCGTACAGTTTCGGCTCCGCAGCTTTGACGCAAAGCCTTGCTCAGAGAAGGACCGGACATGAAATCGAGAGCATTGCGATTGCTGTTGTGAGTGTTTGCGTGATGTTTGTAGGTCCTATGGTACCTGTGGCTGTATTTTGTGCGAACTCTGCTGAGAGCAACCTACTTTCGATGCAGGGATGGCGCTTCGCGGTGCTTTGCAACTTTCGCGCCTGCGCATGATGAAGGCTGAAAAAATGGGACGACAGCCGCAGAGATCTCCAGACGCTGCCGTGACTGCTGCCGTGTCAGATCGACCTGCCGGAGTTCTCGAAGAGCCGCTTTGCGCGCCGGGTGAACATGATGGAAGAAGTCTGAGGCCAAGAGACACACAAACACACCACCACACACCAGAGGATGATGTTCGACGAATGTACTCTCTGAGGACCGGGTCAAGTGGTACAACTGGTGCTTCGCCTGAATTGCACGCAGCACCGTGCTGTGCCGCAGTCATCACCATGTTCACTTTGACTGTCGACTCACACTGTCCGAGTACGAATCTGCGTGAGACAATGGCAGCTGTCTTGAGTTGAGGAACGTTGCCTGTGTGCTGCTCACCACTGTACCCTTCGCATGGATGTACACTGTGAACTATCGCACCTCTGAAGAGGCCTGGCTCCGTGAAGTGCCGGGCGGAACTTGGGCAATACTCGTCGTAGTCTTTATGGAATCATTGCTACGACCATCTTCTTGGCAACAGGAGCTTCGGCAGTTCAATGTGTCTTGTTCTCCCTCGATGTCTTATGGCTCAATCGCCGAACAACTCCTGAAAGCAAGAAGCAACTGTGAGTATGAAGCCTTTCAATCGCTTCTCAGGTTCAGTCTAGCCATTCCCACGGCCCTTACCGATGGTCAGCTAGACAGATTTCAGACGTTTCGAACAGTCAGGTCTTTTGGGCTCCAGGCTTGCTAGAGACATTGGCTCACAGGCAGCAGTTCGCAGGACTGCATGCGGCTCGTACTTGTCCGCTCGTCGTGTGAACAGGTGGCCATGATCTACAGGACCATGGACCCCATGGGTACGCTGAAGTTCAAGTGCCCCGACATCTTTTTGGCAACATTTCTGACGAACTCACAGACGTCATTGCACTGCAAGCACATGCGAATCTGGAGCTTTTGTTGCTTGGTGTTGCTGGATTCTGGTGAGGTATGACCTGAAGCTGTTTGGGTAAATCCAGGCTTTGCCGCAGCAGCTGCACATGGGCCAAACACGCTAGTCACTGTGAGCTTCACTTGCGCAGGGCAGCCACTGGATCCGGCTGAGCGACATTGGAAGCCGGAAACCGACTGCCTGAACTGTCACTGTCATTTCCTAAAGACCACTCGACATTGTGTGTCAGGCATCGGTTTTTTGCTTGATCAGATAGGTTTTGACGCAAATCTTTTTAAGTCAGCTCGGGTCAAGTCTGCAAGAAGGAACTAGGCTTACACACAAGTGCGACCTGAGCTGAGCTATTGATTGGCGGCTTGTGGGCAGCAGAACTTCTGAAAGCAAAGGTTACATGCACAAGACGAGAGGAATAGTGAAAGCTAGCTAGGGCGAGGGATTGCAAAGTCCCACTTAGATATGAAGGAAGGCTGATGGATCAGACTCATTTCGTTTGCAGCGGAAGTGCCGGTAGAAGAAACAGCGGCATTTGACATTTGACGGCACCCTTGCATCATCCACTGCATAGTCTTGGTCTGGAAACTTGTGCCAGGGCGAGAGCGAGATGTGTTCGATGGAACTCGTCACTGCGTTGGCAAAGCTGACACAGGCGCACTCGAGATCTCACAAAATGTTTTCGAGTATTAATGAGTCCTCAGGTGATGCCCATTGCCGGAGTAGAGTCCATGGAAGAGGAGGAGTTGGGCCAAGTAAACTTCAGCGGAAAGTGAACGCGGTCCGAGCATAGGATCTCGAGGGCCCGCCGGGAGCAGAGCAGATGAAGGCTCGCCTTGGCTGGCTTGAAATTCAAGGATTCGATGTGCCTCTCTTGGGCTCCCCCAAGGCACGCAGTCTCGGGCTGGGAGATGAGACTTCCTGTTTGAAGCGTGCCTCCCTTCGGAGCTGAGTGGCAGCCCGTGGGTTTTGTGTGGTCTCTTTGCACCGAGCATGATGCGATGAAGGCTTAAGATGGCAGCCGGGTATCATGAGCGGGAAGGGCATCCAGAACTGCACAGGGCATCATACATCTATTTTGCATCATGCTGGAAATGCTTCTCCACTATCAGCATACTGCGCTTTAGCAAGGCGAAGACTCGTTGGTGTGGTCATTCCTCTTACGCACATTTTCTTAATTAGTGGCAATCCACGAACTGATGCCCATCGACTCGGAGCTGCTGGAGAAGATCGAGAGGCCTGGATTCGAAGCGAAGCGAAAGCTCGACGAACTGCTCCATGTCGAGGCAAAGGCGGCGCCTCGAGTGCCCGCGGGGCTGCCGAGTTTCGGGGCTCCGACACCGTAAGGGATCGTGATGAGGGTGCCCCCAAACCTTTGCTTGGTTGCCTTACTTGCAGGTTTTAGGCTCTGCAGTGAGATGGCTTTGGGCTCGTAGTGCCTCGGTGCATCGGGGAGGGATGAACCTCGAGCCTCGTTCCCGGAGAACGGCATCAGGAAGGCTGCCTGGTGAGCAAACTCGCGCCAGGGCCCTGCATCGAATCCAAAGCCAGAGCTCGCCGGATCCATCGAAGCTGGAGAGTGTCGTGGAGAGGCGCAAGAGAAAGGAAGCCCTCCAAGTCCGGGGAGGAAAGCCCACATCGCCTCGGGAATGCACTCGGATTGGGAAGATGCCTCCGCGCAAGCCGGTACTAGAAAGCGCAGCAAGGTTAAGTGCGGACCAAGACGGCGCGCATGGCGCGGCTCCCTCGGGTTTTGGCGCCAGGGCTTGCCCGAAAAGCCCGAGGAGCCCACAGGGACCAGAGACGCGGCCAACCCGACCAGCGCGGTCAGGAGATGAGGAGTGCAGTGATTTGCGGAAGAGGGCCTTGCTGTTGCTTGCCAGCTCCAAGTCTGCTGCAGTGAAAGAGAAGACGGAGACGTTTATGCAGAAGCACAAGATCGCCTTCGTGCACCCGGCCGGACCTCCCGATCACGACACCACGAGACTCTGCGAAGATGAACTTGTTCAGACTGCCACAGAGACGCCACAAACAGCAGAGTCTGCAGAGACTGCTCAGTGGTGCTTACCGCTGGATGCACTCACATTTGTGTGGCTCCAAAGCGTGTTCCAGTGGGGCATTCGGTGCATCATTGGATGCATGCTTCTGTCCCTCAGATGCTGCCTTGGCAGCATGAACTGCCTGAAGCCTCTCCTTGTCGAGGAGGCCCCAAGAAGGCGCTACCAGGACAAGCCCACAGTCAGGACTTTGGGCTAACCGCAAAGTTCTTTATGCTCTGTGATTGCTGATTCGGGCCTCGTAAGAAGGAGTAGCACAGGTCAATACCGTGTGCGAAAAGCTAGGCCTTAGTACTCAGCCTAGGCCAGCAAGGTTGTCGTCGGTCAGCTGTAGAAGCTGTCTTTGTTCTAGTTCTAGGAAGCCGTCAGGACCCCGCAATAGTCATGGTGAGTATGACGGTCATGGCAACGAACATGAAGGTAAACGCCATCGATTGAAGCGACACCAAACAGCAGATTCCAGGGTGTCGCTGACCGAGAGGACACGGCCCGAAGCCACGAGGCCTCGGCGACGCGCAGCCAAGGCCAGGCGTTGAGGCTTTTGAGGGGCCCTGCACAAAGAGACAGCTACGGGAGTTTGTCCTCTTTGCACTGCAGGCCTCCACGAAGGACAGTTTGAGCGAGCAGCTCGACACCCTGGAGGCAAAGATCGCAGCTAATCTAGCACTACGCAGAGAATCTAGCACATGATTTGAGCGAAGCGGAGAGGCACTCCTCAGCCGCGAAGCGGCCTCGTTGGTCAGCCTCAAAGCAGAAAAGACCTGAGACGGCAGCGTGGACGGTACCCTGCTGAGAATTTGTGCCGGGAGCTGCTGTGTTTCACTCGTGCAGGCTCATCTGTGTCAGAGGAAGATAGGAGATGACGAATTGGTTTCCGCGAATGGGTCATTGTAGAGCATTATCGTAAGTGCATCGTCTCATCGAAGAAGGGTACTGTATGTTGCCATCGGCAGTGAGAACAGCTTTGTTTCGCAATCAGGGAGCGAAGTGCCCTTCCCTTTCCGAAATCTTCGAGGCAGAGGCCATGGAAAACAGTTTACTTTGGGGTATGTTGGGCAGTGCACGTGTGCACACACTGACAAGTTAGGCGTGTGAAAGTCTTCTTGTGTTTGCTACCAGTTAGGAAGCAAACAGAGAAGCAGCTGCTGAAGCACTGCAGCTCGAGTTTTTCAGCTAACCACGCGTAGCCGAGCCATGTCAGGACAGAGCAATGTTAGTCCTGTGGTGCCGGCGCACTTAAGGTGCTTTGCGCGGCCAGTGAGAACCAGCTGCTGGACTCGTTAGCTGAGTTCCGAGCGGCACACCGATCAAGGCTTGTTACACTGAAGTCAGCATGGGGAACAGTCAACCTACGATGCAGAGGCCTTGGTTGGAGCCATTTTTGGTTCCCTTCCTGCCGATGTCGGCCATGGTGACGTTCCTCCGTGGAACAGCAAAAGGGACTGCAGAGGATCCAGGTAAAAGCGGGGCCAGGGTACAACCTTGCCTCACCCCTCTACGCATATGTATGCAAGCTGCATGCCCTTTGTACTGCATGGTATAGCGACAAACAGAGTGGAGATCCAGTATAGCCGATACTAATATTTGACTCGCGCCAGCCCACAACAAAGCTGTTTCAAGTTCAGTCCGAGGAACAAGATCAAAGGCAGTTGACCAATCGATCGCAAGCTGCAGGCCACCATAAGTGGTAGGTTTGTGCTGTTGCAGACGATGCGTGTGGAAAACATGCTGATGTTGTTCACGAACCCACCGGCAGTGGTCACTGACCCGAGCTATAGCATCATCCGTGCCACGGCTCGGCGACAGGTTTCGCCAGAAGTTGGGGGCTGACATCAAGTAGTAGGAGTTGCTTCAAAAGCTTAGCATAAGCCTTAGTGCCACACTCTTGCAGGCCCAGTGGTCTGAGGTTCTCAGGTCTTTTAGTCGGCTTATTGGGCTAACAGCACCTATCGGCGCGAAACGCTCGAGAGGAAGAGCGGCTGTCGGGTTTTAAGGTTCGCTGACGCGAACTCGCAAGTCTGACTGGTCGTTTTCAATCACTTGCTGACACGAGCGCGAGCATGACGAACATGTTTCACATTGTCATTCCCACACGCACACCCACGCAGAAACACACTGGCCAGCAAGTGTCTAGCAGAAGAGGGTGCGAGGACACAGCTGCGGGGGCTGAAGGAGGAGAGTGCGCACTAGCAGGCAACTGTCGCTCTACCTAGGCACTCCTATCAACTGTGCATCAACGTTGCTTAGTGAGAAAGGATCTAACGTGAAGCCGCTGCAGCGTCGTGTGTTTTCTCACCCTGCTGGTCCTGACGGGCGCAAAGGGCAAGCTCCCACGTCACCTGCTGACAGGAACGACTGACGGATTGTGAGGGCTGCTGCACAAAGGAGGCTCATGCCCCTGAAGCCACCGAACAGGTAGTGGGCGAGGATCATGGTCAGGTTCGGCTCCTGACTGGTGCATGCCACGAAAGCACCTGGGGCACCTCACCCGGCAAGGCGTCCGAATATCCCAATAATCGGGAGGACTAACGTGAAACGGTAGTCCGTCTGGAGCAACGAAAAAACACCGGGTGGTAGATCACGCTCTGCATTGCTGACTGGCGCGGATGATCCTTTGGGATCTCCTGTGTAGCCTCTCCAGTCGTGGGCTGCTCTGACTCGCGTTTCGCGCCATTCGTTGGAAGCCCTGTGCGCCTGCCCACATGACGTGTCTGTCGTCGTCAAGGAGGCTGCCTTCGAAGGGAGGGTGGCGCCCCTTCCTTCAAAATCCCAGGTGGCTTGCTAGATGGCGTAGTTGTAGAGCTGGTTGGACCTGTCGGAGGGAACGAGGGCGGTTTCTTCTGTACCGCCTTCTTGTTCGGCTGGCGGGTCAACAGCCGAAACACCGTGGTCCTCGACGACGATCGTCCACGTAGTCCTGCATTGTGGCCTGAACGCCACCCTGTTCAGCGAAGACTGGATCCGTCATTGTGGGTTGTATTTAGTGCCTACATGACGCACCAGCTCCAACAACATCTCCCGGCACAGTGGATTGATGTCAAGCTCTATGCGGACGACACGAATGCCAGCTTTCACACTAGCAGTGTTGCTGATCTCCAGTTTGCCTTCCGTGCCATCCGCACCATTTTCTTGATCTACAGACGACATAGTATGAAGGTAAACCCCAGCAAATCTGGTGTGGTTCTTGGAGTGCGTGGCCCGCATGCGAAGGAGTTTTTAATGCACATATTCAAGGACCGTTGGGGCAGAGCAGCCTAGTCCTAGGCATTGGGAAGGATGAATTGCGCAGCCCCATACAATCCACGATGACATACTTGGGTATTGTCATTTCCTACGACAATTTCGAGCAGGAAACTCTTGACTCACGGCTGCGTATTGCTCAGGCCACGCGTTGTAGGTTAGCCAGAGTACTCAGTGCCCGTAGGTAGTAGGTACCTCACTCAATCGCAGCGTGTTCATCTCTACACTCTTTGCGTCAGAACTGCAGCCTTGTATGGACTAGAGGCAGTTGGGCTGCATGAGGCTGGGCTTCGCAAGCTCCATCGTTTTGAAACCAAGCATTTACGCGCCATTGTTCGGTCTACTGTGCACTTGACAAAAGAATGGCCGAGTCAGCTATACCAGCGGCCTCAACTCAAACAGCCTGGGCAGCAGCTACTCAATATACTGCGCCACCGCCAGCGCACCACGAAGCATGATTCTTTTGGACACGAGTGCTGGGTCCAAGTCAGGGCCGATCGTCTCGCTGAGCTATTACAACTACAGCAGTCCAGTCTGCAGGAGGTTGTCACTCTGCAGTTAATTCTCGTGCCCTACATGCGGAGAGTATTTTGGTATCCTCAAGGACACACGACAGCACGACACCAAGAAGCACA